TGGGCAACTGGACGCAACTAGTCACTGCCGATCGCTTCGAGTTGCTCGAAATCCAGTTGCTTCCAGTCAAGTCGGCTCGCAAGCCCGACATAAGCGCTGCCCCCCTTAACGAACGTGCAGCCATTTGTTTGTATTGGGTCTGGTTACATGTCTGCCCTTTTGTCTGTCTGCCTGCCTGTCTGCCTGCATGCCTGTCTGCCTGCCAGCCTACCTCTCTTCCTGTCTGTCTGCCTGCCTGCCTGTCTGTTTGTCAGCCTGTATGCCTGCCTGCCTGCTTGCCTGTCAGCCAGCCTGAGTGCTTGCCACTATTCCTGCCTGCTTGCCTGCCAGCCTGCCTCTCTTCCTGTCTGTCTGCCTGCCTGCCTGCCTGCCTGTCTGTTTGTCTGCCTGCCTGCCTGTCTGTTTGTCAGCATGTATGCCTGCCATTTAATTTTGTAACCTCAGACTGCGGACTCCCTCATGTTGCTTGCGGACTCCCTCTTTTTAAGGGTAGGGAGTCCGTTGGACTCCCTCCCGTGTTCAAAAGTCAATTTCTACCCCTGTTCAGTATAGTTGTGATTGTACCGTCGTTGCCCGCCTGACCACAACATTAATGTTCCCACGATCATCCCTCTCATCCGCCGGCGCCACCTGCCGGTGTCGGAAACGCACCTGAGAATGAGCGAGAAGTGCGAACGTGGTTGCATCGAACGATCCTACAGCAGTCGTCGTCTTGTCTTGTCGTTTCTATGCTGCGTGGGTTGATCTGCTTGCTGTTAGGAATGCCTGAGAAACTGAAGCAAACACAGAAGAGAACGTTATTCGAGAAACGTTTCGTTTTAAAATTGTGGAATCATTTCTGATTATCAATTAATTATAATTATAATTATAATGAAAGAACATGAAAGAAATGAATGACAGAAAAGATATGTCATATGAGTGAAACAGTGGCGAGTGTTCCAGTTACGATGGTGTTCGAACTGCACAGTCCAGCGCTTAAAATGATATATATTTATATATAATATATATTTGAGTTCGTATGTATGTATGTATGTATGTATGTATGTATGTATGTATGTATGTATGTATGTATGTATGTATCTTCCCTATAGGCGGCCAAACCGCCCAAGCGATCTGGATGCAATTTTCACAGGTCCATCT